CACTGTAGCACAGATATATGAAGGTCTGTTGTGTTCATGGGGTAACCGGGCCGAGTCCATCTTTTACTTGTCCCTCTTTATTCGTCCTGTGCTTTTCTGTCAATTCCCCACTATGTTGCCTAATAAAGGCATAAGCCAAATAAATAAATAAATACATGATTAAATCAGCACAGATGTCTTTGTAGTTGCTTTGCTGTTTGCTAGATTCTGACTTTGCACAACGTGCCAGTTCTTTTATGGGATTGTTCACCTCTCCTCATTAGTCAGACAGAGTTAAATTCAGCGGCCAAGATGCAACCAAGTCACGGGCCAAAATCATTTGGCACAGTGGAACGTATTGCCTGTAAACTGGTTGATATTCGATCATTGCCAAACCAGCAATAAACAATGTACAATGGGTAATGCTGCCAGCAGAAGACCTCAGGCAGTCTGAAGACCTCAAGAAATACTTGTTTTGGAAAAAGGAGAGCTTCTTCCTCTCTGTTTGGTTCTTCCTTTCTCAAACAGAAAGGCTTTCTTTGTCATGCAAACAGCAGACAGTAAATCAGATGTCCTGATGGCGCAGTGGCAGACGGGTGCATGCAGGCTCTGGAGGAGGAAGCGGGCTTTGGCTTGAGTCGAGCTCAAATTCCCCCTCTGTTAGCAATGTCAGCTTTTCCCATCAGCAAGAGAGCAGGCCAAGAATAGCTCCGATCGGTTGGAGAGCGATGGAGGGAAAAAAGGTGAAAGAGCGAGAGAACAAGGGAGAAAGATGAATGCCAATATTGGCATTTAATAGAATATACAGGCAAAAAATCCCAGTATATTTAAACATAATGAAATGTATAAAATCTTTTTGACCAAGACTTTACAAATCATTTCTGATCACAGGACGTAAATTTAAGTAATTTTATATGCAGAACTTGCAAAAAATTAAACCGTTTTCAACTTTGATAATAAGATATATATATATATATATATATATACATATGGTTTAGGTAAAGACTAGAAATGAAGTGTATCCATTTCAAATAGGATAAATAATCAGACAAGACGTGTTTGAATCGAGTGATGTCAGCCGAAGAGGCAGAGCGAGTTAAGAAATATTACATAGTCAAACTATTTATTTTTTTTTGGAACAACATGCACCAATTAATTGGGCACAATGAGACCAGGAACATGCAATAAGAAATTAAACAAGGTCCATTTTGATTTGATGTTGATTTTAAGATTAAGACTGAATGTGGAGGAATGTCAATAAATCCATGAAGAGAAAGACAAATCCATTCTCAGGTTTATTTTGCCCCTCTAAATCTCCACAGACAGCCAGTGTGACCTAACGATGCTGAAAGTCAGCTACATCTGCCACCGTTGACTCCCTCTGCCCTCAGGATATGCCACACACACACAACTCTTAAACTATTATTCAAGTGCTAAATCCTTGCAACAGGCCGTGAGAGTCAAATTAAGGCCTCTGGGACCGATGTGGACCATAAAAGAGAGACTTAAAGCCCGTTCATTCCAATAAAGATAACTATATTAGAGTCCAAACCAGCGGACGATATCCTTCTGTTTATTATAAGCGTGTGTTTGTCTGCCGCTTTAAATGCTCGAGCTTGTGACAGCAGGATGAATTCTGATTGGCTGTATAGGTTTTTATCGTTAATCAACTGGATAAAATCGTTTCCCTGTGCCGTTTATCGTTAGCTGTGTGTGGTGTGAACTATTCTTTAATATTGAAAACAATTTTTAGAACTAGCCTATAATATCTTTATTGTTTTATTTATAGTTATCGTTCTTGGTGTGAACAGGACTTAAAACTGGTAGAAACAAAGACAGAGACATTCGCACTTTGACCTCTCGACTCTCGACCCGAGCATCTGTCATCTCTTCTCTGGGTAGAATATATCTTCAGACAGACTAGCCTATTTCTTTTCGGTCCTCTACGATGACATGACCCCCATACATCTTGGGGAAGAAGGCAGACAGATTGTGCGACATCTGTCTCGTATGTCACACTGTTCAGTGGAAATTTTAAACCAACAATATTTTAGACCAGTGGTTCTCAAACTGGTTTGGCCATGGGACCCACAATAACTCATGGATATGCAAATCCTTTCCAGAAAACCCTACACAACCTACCACACCAATAGTTATTATAGTTAGGGATACCGATATGAACATATTGGTCGTAACCGATAATTCTTTATTTTTGAAAGCCGAATTACTGGCCGACAATATATAAATCCAAATTTTGATATGAGTTTTAAGAGCCTAATTACAAAAACAATTGTCTCACCATTAAAAGCCAAGCCCCAAGCACACAACCCGCTGTTGTGTGAATGAATTGCCAAAATTAATTAAAAAGGTCATGTAAACGGCCCCGAAATTTTGTTCTTTTACTACACACTCTGGGCCAGCGGTTGAGAAACATCGTTTTAGACTCCATAACCAACATCGTACGGTCAAAGCAATGAACATCACCAGGTAACAGACACTGCAGTTTATATATGCGTTTTCATACTTTTATTTTGCCACAAACAACTTTGCCCCACACAGAAATGAAAAAATAAATAAGTTTCAACTTGTGTGTCTCCGTGTCTCTCTCTCTCTCTCTCTCTCTCTCTCTCGGGAATTCAGTCCAAATAAGTGCAATCTTTCACATTTCAACCTGAGGCAATATGTGATAGCCACAAGCTATTTTCAGACAATGTGCCAAGCAATTTCCAAAGCATTTCAGATGCTGTGCTCACAGCAGCGCGTGTCGCTGAGAGAAAGAACAGTGTGTGCATGTGTGTGAGGGACAGAAGCGACGCACCAGGTGATCGCATGAGGAAACAAGCATCATAGTTATGCTCGTTGTTCTTGTGAAAGGAAAGTGGATATTCAGGATCTAATAGATCACACATTGAATTATAGATAAAGTCAAACAGAACTTCACCATACTTGTGTAACCAATTAACATTAAGAGGAAGCAAAAACAGATTTTTGTACACCTTTACAGAAATTGAACCATGGTATTTCCATAAAAATATTAGTTACTCTGGTTGTAGTTTGTAAAATAAAATTGTGGCAACTTATCCAAACTAAGTAATAAAATAATTGATAACAGATTTGGTTTTACAGTAGGCCTAGTATGGTATTTTTGGCAAGCTAAAGACTTCGGTTCCCACACTTTTTGGTCAATGAATTGCCATGAATTTTACATAATTGTTTCAGTGGTTCATGGATGTACTGTACTGTTAAAGGATTAGTTTACCCAAAAATGAAAATTATGTCATAAATGACTCACCAAACCTAAAGCACAGTTTAATTAAGATATTTTAGATTTAGTCTGAGAGCTTTCTGTCCCTCCATTTAAAATATTATGTACGGTATAGGCTACTGTCCTTGTCTAGAAAGGAAACAGAAACACTAGCAAAGTAGTCCATGTGACATCAGTGGGTTAGTTAGAATGTTTTAAAGCACTGAATTACATTTTGGTCCAAAAATAACAAAAACTACGACTTTATTCAGCATTGTATTGTCTTCCGTTTCTGTTGTCAATCCGCGTTCACGAGTCCGCAGGGACGCTGCTGACGTAAGACGCTGCTGACGTGCGTCTCCCTCAGACTGTAAACGAAGCTCAGGCACGCCGCGCACTGATAAAACGTCAGGAGTGTCTTACGTCAGAAGCGTCACTGAAACGGATTGACAACAGAACCGGAAGAGAATACAATGCTAAATAAAGACGTGGTTTTTGTTATTTATTTTGGACCAAAATGTGCAATGCTTCAAAACATTCTAACTAACGCATGGACTACTTTGATGATGTCTTTATTTCCTTTCTGGACAAGGACAGTGTACCGTACACACATTTTCAATGGAGGGACAGAAAGTTCTCGGACTAAATCTAAAATGTCTTAAACTGTGTTCTGAAGATGAACGGAGGTCTTATGGGCTTGGAATGACATTAGGGCATTAATGACATCATTTTCATTTTTGTATGAACTAACCCTTTCATACTACTACTACTACTAATAATAATAATTTTATGGAGATTGTATTGCTAAATAAATATTTTAAAGCTTTACATAACTACATTATTTATCATAACATAACTTCATTATTTATCTTTATATATTTGTATTAATACATTTATAAAAGTCCATGACTCATGATACTTACAGGTTTGTCATGGTTGTGGGAATGCTGTGGTTGTACCATGTACGTTAAATATGTGTAAGGAAAAAAGCATCAATATTTTGAGAACATTTTAACCAAATAAGTTATAGAACGATACTTCCCACCTGTAGTCCCAACTATTCGTCTAGCTATTAAAGTAAGATTCTGCCCATTGAATCAATTTTTCAGTTTACTCTAATCAGTTCACTCATTTGTTCTAGTCTCATTACGAGTTGGTTATCAGTAAGATTAATCAAGGTTCAAATTAATCGGTCATCTATTGACTCCAGAACCGTTCGGACGGATTCAATTCAATTCGCAGGTGTATCGTACCAAACGGTTAACTGAACCGATTCAGTTGAATCAATGAATGATGCGACTCACAAGAACGATTCGTTAACATCGCTATCAGTAGACCGTGTGAAACTGCGGAAGTCTCTCTACAAGACACCTGCTGCAAGATGATTATCAACCCTTTTTAACCGACTCTACAACTGTGTCTGTAGGAAAAAGATAACAGAACAAACCCACGGTTAGTACTAACCATCAATGACACTTGACGTTACATTCAACGCACTGACACGGGTTAACTGAGACAATTAAAACAACAACGTGTTTCAGTTTCTTACAACATTCAAAACAAGAAATCACGTGCAGTTCATAAAACAACATTCAGCATACAAACAAATCTAAACGAGGAAGTGGGAAGCTCTTTTCAGAGGTGGAGAAACAGAAAGCAACTTTCTAAATGGAACTTGTCGCAACCGTTGAGCCAAACACGTTTATGCGCGAACCTCCAGGGCTGGAGAGAAAAAGCCGCAAACAGGAGCTCAGAAAGACTCAGAAGCGCTACTTACTGGTGAAAGACGAAATGTTAAATAATCCAAGAGTATCCTGAATGTGTAGGAGTCAGTCGAGGTTCAGACTAATATCGTGGTGTCAGCGGGACTCGCTCCTCTCCGCTTGCTGCCTCTCACTCACGCGCACTCAGATGAATGAGGAACGCGCAGAAGCGTGCACGAGCTCAATTCATTATTCACGCGGAGGACAGTAAGACTGCCCAAGTTTCCCAACATCGATCTTACGTGGTTATATATTTTGCATGAACATATTTACGGGATCATTTTAGTGGAGTTTTGACTTGCAATCAAGTTGCATACAAATGCCCTATAAACCCTATAAAGGTAAGCTACTAATAAATAATGAACACCAAACCTTAAGAAAAAATAGGCTCTTTAAAATAGCAAAACAAACGATAAATATAGCTAAACAAACATACGAATTTACAAACATACGATTTCTTTAGACGTTTGCATGAAACTAAAGTAATGATAAATGTACACATACATTCACATACATACACATACAAAAAAATGTATTGTTGGGGTAACTTAAGTGGTTGCCTCAAAATTTAATTTGAAGGAGATTGGTTTAATAAATAGAAAACTCAAAATATTAGACTATGTTATCTGAATCCCACTAATTAGGTGATTTGACAAAAGATAAAAAGTTGTGATAAATCATGACAATATTTTTTACATAGGATAGGCCTACAATACTAAATGTCGTGGTGTAAAAGGCCCCTTGGATATTATTATTTTTTCTTATTAGGCTATTTTATATAACAACAAAACCACTGCATAGCTAATTTTGCTAAATACTGCATAGTTCTGAATAGTTCTGAATTGAAATTGAATTGAAAGTTGTGAGAAATTGGATGTGGTGAATATGCAGTGTTATCATATTGATGGGTCTTGTCACAATACTGATTTGTAAAATATATAGGCCTAGGCCAACACAAACTAAAAGATGTTGGCCAGGGCCCAAAAAGCAGAATAATAACTGTATTTTATAAAAACGTATGATTTTATGAAATGCAAAACATGAATCAAATAGAAAACCGAACACTTCTGTCACAGTTGTGTCCCAAATAACTCAAATTGAGTTACTCCATTAAATTGTTTTTATTAATATTATTATTTTTAAATAGGCTACAAAAGGAACAAACTGAAATAGCTAAAGGTGTTCTGCTTTACTCAAATCTTAGAATAATTAATTTAGGTCAGATTTGCTCCATGGGTCACAGGTAATGCAGTAACAGTTCCTAAAGCACAATAGAAACGGTTAATGCAAACAAACCATCCCTTCACACACTTGATGGCATACTCACAGTAAAATTGGGCAACACAAATTAACAACCAAAGTTTATATTGGCTAGCGTCTAATTCATTCGCCGCAATTAAAATAGCCTCACATAACAAGCCAGTGTTTGTTTCTCTCCTCCAGCCCCAGATACAGCCTAATAAATTATTCAACTACAGCAGATGCACCAGCACAACCTCAATCTACCCAAATGCAGCATCTGAAAGCGCGAGGTGAAGTTAAATGCACGCGCGTGCATGTAATCCGTCCATTTGAAAGCCGATACAAACCCATCGTCCGAGGAGGGACTGCATTGCCTAACCTGAAAGCATCAAAGAAAGATACGAAGGCATTTGCAGGTAAAACTATGAATAGATGTGCTCTGATCCGCAGATAGGCTACTGTAGCCTACATTTAACTAATAACAGCAGCACATATGCCGATAGACCCATGATGTACATGAGAGCATGAAACAGTCATCGGAACAACACGATGCGCTTTAAAACCATTTGCGTGTTTCTATCGGCATGGTAGGATCTTAAAGCATCCTGAACGAGATGAATTACCGTGGTCTCGTTGGCCGTAATCCCCCGCTGGACCGATATACCTCCAGTCAAGTGTTTCTTTCTCCGGCTGTCTCTCTCTTTCTGCTTTCCAACTGTCTCAAGTATTTGGACCACGGGCGCGTTCACGTCATGATATGCGCGTGCTCTAATTGGAGGGCTGCTGCTCTGCAATAACTGATAGTGTTACACTGTTTCACCTGGCGAAACATCTGACAGTCTTACAGAGTTATCTTTCGAATTATAAAGTCTCTCTCGAGGCTAAATTTATCTGTGACAGTGTGACTTGTGTTCTGGAAAATATCCAAATAGGAAAAGCCCAGACCATTTTGTCATTGCACCTATTTTTATCAAATATTATCAGCGCAAGATTAGTTATCACATGCAGAGCTTACTCAAAGAATCCACAAAAAATGCAGAGATAACTTGAGGTAAAATATGTTTATAGATAGATAGATAGATAGATAGATAGATAGATAGATAGATAGATAGATAGATAGATAGATAGATAGATAGATAGATAGATAGATAGATAGATAGATAGATAGATAGATAGATAGATAGATAGATAGATAGATAGACAGACAGATACATAGATGAGAGACAGACAAGCAGATAGATAGATAGATAGATAGATAGATAGATAGATAGATAGATAGATAGATAGATAGATAGATAGATAGATAGATAGATAGATAGATAGATAGATAGATAGATAGATAGATAGATAGATAGATAGATAGATAGATAGATGAAATTGACTGAAATATAAAATACATTTGTAATTTATAAGACTATCATTTTCTTGCTGCCTCCTCTGAACGAGGTCTCAGATTCGTTCTTCTTTTGTTGCTGATCATATATAATATAGAACATCTTGTCATATAGCAATCCAGTCTGAATCTGATTGACGAGATACAATGTAACTTCAATGTTTATCAATCAGCTCCCAGACAAGCACATGAATCTGTTCCCCGCAGAGCTGAACTCTATAATCCAATCAAGGCTATGAAAACAGGTATGTGTGCAGTGACAGTAATTCAGTGCTGTGATTGTTCGAGTATGGAAGCCAAGGCCACAAGGAATGCAGAATACTCCGGCTCTCAGAGGAGTCTTTCAGAAAAACACCTCTATGGCAGTTTCAATGCAAGGCCGAACACATTAGTCTGGTCTCTCCTGTAGAACAACATGCCAGGAACACAGTCTCCACACACACACACACACACGCACACACACACGCACACACACACAGCTAACACTGTTTAAATTCCTGTTCATTTAAAGGGTGTATATGTGTGAAACTAAGTGTCTCTGCTTACACACCAGAACAACAGGGCATACTATCCTGAAAGGACAAATACTCTTTTTTTATGTTTCAACATAAACTTACACAGCTGGATTTCATTAAATCAAATTAAACATTAATAAAACTCTTTATTAAACAGACACCCTCCCCTCTAGAATAACATAATGTCCCCAGTCATCTAAATAAGAGGTGGCATAATCTAATAAATATGCATGTTTTTGCATAAATTAGTGAGCTTCAACCTGCAATATTATAATTGGATATTACACGAGATCCTCCCTCTGCAGTGCCCAAACTGCTTTTAAACTGACTCGGAGCATCACAATGTATTCACAGTGTAACTATCTGTCCAGAAAGATGGAATGATGAAAATATGATTTTCAAAAAAGATTTCCAATATTTTGCCAAGTATATGCTCTTGAAACAACATTTCTATCCAGATTTTCTGATTGGTTGATGTTGTTGCTGTTAGCTTTGTGATAAAAAAATATATATATATATATAATACTAGTAACCCATGCAAATTGTGCCTCTTGGATAATATAGAATCAGCTAAATAATCACCCCACAAATATTACAAACAATGTGCAGCATTAGAATGATCTTTTTTTTAAATTTTTTTATTGAACTTCACATTGTACAGTAACTCTTCTATGATGATCGTGCTACAGACATGTATGATATCTCAAATTGCATGGCTTTTGGAGGATAGAAAGGTTTATACATTTTGAAATGATCGGACTAACAACCAGGTGGACAAAAGTAAGAAAAATATCTAGAGACCTGGTATAGAGACTTGGGGTTTGACATGAACTATTCTTGCAAGCCCTAGCGAATACCATGGGCCGCCCAGAAAATGCATATCAATGCTCTGGCAACCACACACACTGTGGCATTGTGGCTACAGGTACTGTACAATGTTAAAGTCCAGTTACCTTTTGAAAGTCGAACAGTTCCCCGCAAGGAAGTGTTCGAGATCTAATCTGTTACTTTGCAAGTCATGTGATTGTGTTTGTTCATGTCTGCATCCATATGTGAATGGCAGTGCTGCTCTCTCCACCACACCTACTGTAGATGACTGAATGCCCAAGACTGAAAATTGGGTTGTCTGTCCCCAATGAGGCTTCCATCCTGACCTGCCAAACCCAGAACATACAGTCTCCCTCTCACCCCTACCTGAGACACAGCAGGACAAAAGCGGCACAGATGGCCAGCACTCTCTCCATCCCCCTACCTCCCCCTTCCCAACCTCTTTCTCTTTCTCTCAATATGACCGCTTCTCTCTTCAATCGTATCACAACAAGCCTGACATTCAACACCGACCTCAGGAGCTTGCTTTTATCTGTCTTCTTGAGGGGGATAGGATTTGAAAGCTAGGTGCTAGTGCACTTCCTGTCCGCCTGCTGACACAAGTAAAAGCACTAAGAGGGTTTCTACGTTCAGTCGATGATCTAGACAAACTTGCCAATTTTCCAGTTGTGTTAGAGCCATTCCAGATGACTGGCCCCCAGGGGCCTGGAAGTATAGAGATGGTGACGTTAGACCTTCAGAGGAGGAGATATGAGAGAGATAGAAAGACTGAGTAAGGGGTAAGGGGTAAGGCTGACAGCTGGGTTGCAGGCCCCTGAGCTAAATGACAGGTGGCCATTTCAAAGCTGAGACTGTGAAAATAACCAGGGAACTTGCTGGAAGACTTATCTAAGAGGAATCCATTCAATATACAGGTGGCAACAACTTCTTTACCTGAACAAGCACATCCACAAATTAAATGGACAAATCTGATGTCCATGCAGCTTACCCCACTGGGAAACACAGATCAAAAAGTACTGGTTGACCAAAAAATTTAAATTCAGTCATAAATTTTTCATGGGGGGGGGGGGGGGGGGTTGTCAAACATGGTTTACCAGCTATGATCAACTTGATGATGATTAACCCACCAGATTCTCCAGGTAAAAGTCCAGCTGATCAGCTAAATAAACTAGACTGGACCTGCTAGTGATGACATCAAT